AACCCCAAAACCCCAAAACCCCATTCATAAAAATAGTCCAAATTACTTAAATTAATTGAAATAAATTTAGTTTTTCAAATATTTAATTAGTCAAAATTACTAGTCTTTCTTTGCCTAATTCTTTCTAATCAGTCTTTTATCCTTGAAATAATTACTTAATAGATCATCTTTTTCTTTTTTAGATACTACAGAAACTTGATCAAAACTATCAAAAGCCTATTTATGATTATTTTTCTACTCATTTAATTCATAATGATCAAATTAATCATTCATAATCTTTTGGTGATAGCTATCTAGCTTTTAAAGAAGATTTATTTTAGGTAAGTGACTTTTGGAATTTATATTGTTGTTGATTGTTAATGAAAGAGTTGAATTATTGATCTTGCTTAAACTCTAATTAGTTTGAGTCTAGTATAAATTTCTAAGTATTTTCCTATGAGATTTCTAAATGTCTAGAAAGCTCATGTTGTTTGTGTTGGCTTTATGCTATTTCTTCACCTCAATGTCATCTATTTAGTCCTTCAGATTGATATTCTTAGCTACTGATTTGGATCTTAATTCCTAAGTACGATTTTAAACACTTCTTTTAATTAACTTTCTATTTTTTGCATAGTTAAGGTCTTCTGCTTGTGATTAAATTTCTTCTTTATTTCTATCTAGTGTATTTAGGTATTCATGTTTGATAATCGAATCCATTTAGTATGGTTTGTTTTATTAATCGTTTACATAGTGTCTCTTCTGCACAATAAGAGGGCACACTTTTTCATAATTAGCATATTTTTATCGCCTTTTATCTTAAATATCACTCTTATCAAATTAACCTTTTTATTGATTTTAGATGCTATAAGGATTAGAATCAGTGTCTTCTAATACCTTTAGCAATACTTGCCCAGATGAGGTACTTGAATCCTTTTGCTACTGAAGAATTCCATCTGTGTGAGTGATACGACAGAATTCATTAAAAGATATAGTTTAATCTCCATCTTGATCTAGATATTTGTACACTTCTTTCTGATCATCAATTGATAGTTAAATACCTAATGAATCTAAGGCTTAGCTGAATTCGATGAAATTGATTTATGAATCACCATTTCTGTCAAAGTATCTAAAAGCGCTAGAGAGACTTGGATATTTATTGGATACTTTAAGCCATATAAATTCTAATTAGAGCTTCATCTTTTTTTCATACAATTCCTCTTTCAGAATTGTCTCTTTTTAGGATGAACTAAACTTTCTCTCTATCGGATCATTTTTCATTGCAATCAAATTGATATCGGAGGGTTCATTCTTTTATTTTTAAACTCTTACAGGGTATAAATTATAACCTTCTACTAAATTTGCGAATTTGTAAAAGTCGACAAGATCTATATCCTTGGGCATAATTATTAAAGTTAAAATTTCTTTTATTAGTGATTCATTAATACCCTAAGCAAAGGAATTAACTGCATTTTTGAAGTCAGCAACTTTTATATCGTCTTTATTTTTTAATACATTATAAAGATATGTCTTTACAGCCAAAAGTCTGCGAAAATCTACTTAAGATTTGTGAAGTTAATCTATGATTCTTAAAGTTGAAGGGTTATAATTGGATTAAGTTGAGATTATCTTGCTCATAAATGCGGCCTATTTTTTTTGTGAAAGTCTTTTGGTATAGATGTCATCATAAAATGGATGTGTTTCTGGGGTTTCTAAGGATTGTAAAGTTTAAGATTAATTGGAATAATTAGGAAAGTCTAGCATATTTCTTTTCTTAAACCCTGAATTATCGTGTTTAGAATGCGAAATTAAATCTTAAGTTTTGATAAGAGTGAATTTTTTCTTTCCTTATTTATCAGGTGTCTGATATCTAAGTAATGGCTTTATAAGATACTTATCTTCTTAGTTTTCTCTTAGAGTTTGATAATCTTGCTTCTTATTAATGATTAATTCTTGATTTACTAACTTTGACTGCAAATCACCTTGAGTATTAGGATTTGGTTTTAAAATGCTCTAATTTCTACTAATTTTTTTGCTATTTATGATTGAATTATTTTTATCGTTTTACTCCTGAATAATGCTTAGAGTATTCTGTTGAAAGTCCTTTAATGCTCCAACATCGAATTTAGAGTTTGTAACTGTAATATTCCTGCTTATGGAAGATTAATTATCGACTTAAGATAAATTATCTCTTTGTTATACTACTTCCCCACTATAATATTTCCATTCAAGTGTTTTCACATCTTGCTAGATTGATTTTAAGGCTTCCTTATATTTTAACTGTTCAATGCTTTTATGAAATCTTGTAATTATCATATTTTTATCAGATTATAGCAGATTCATACCTAGAAGTTCTATAACCTGGAAAAAAGCATCTTTGTTAATCAAATTCGTTTTCTCTATAATAAATTTCTAATGAATATTAATTGAAATACATTAATCACACTGTGCAAGCAATTTTTTAGCCTAAAGCTTGATCTAGTTAGAATGCTTAGCTTATGAAACTAGAGATTGTGTCTATAAAACAAGATAAAGAATTTATATTTAAAGATCAAATATTTTACTTCAGGATCCATGTAAGATTAAATATAATTTTAAGGGATTTAAGTGATATTTAAACTTTTATGGATTGTCTTACAAACTTCAGATTATTAAAAGTACTTTCTATTAATTTTATTGAAACAGAGAATTTAAAACATTTCGATTTTTAAAATGAACTTTTTAAAAGAATTAGCACATACCTAATATACCCTTTCAGTTAAATTAAAGATTTTGAAATAACATAGGATTTCAATGAGAAGTTTCCCTTCTTTTGCGATAATTTCTTATAAGATTTAAACAGGCGCTTGATTCTTAGAATAAGAGGGTTTAGTGAGATCCCAGAATAGCTAACTTAAAATCCTTATTTATATCTTGATTACGATTATTTTACATTCTGAATTAGATTATTGCTTGATTTATCTTGGTATCTGTAACTAAAAGTTAAGCTATTTAAATTAGTTAATTATACAAATTTCAATATTTTTGATAAAGTAATTATTCAATTAATATATAAAAATGAAATATTAATTGGAAAGGAATTTAAAAGTGTAATCTCATTCAAATTCACTTTCTGACATCTCCTCATAATCTAATAATTTGCTTTGATAATCATCTTTCTTGTCTTGGTATTCTCCTAGTCTATCATAGTAGGTATCGAAAACACAGGGAGTGCAGCCATTTCCACAGCACTCATCCTAGTCAGGCTCTCTTGGCTCCCTTAATCTATTTATTAGATCCTCTATGTCTTTAATTTTCTTTTGTTTTTTACTTAGGCTAGGCTATACTGGTACAGCTACTTATTGCTTTGTAGCAATTATAGTCTCTCCATTAGTTTATTGATGATCAATTTTCTCTGAGGTCTAAGTAACTTCTAATACTGTTGAACCTTTTGATGTAATGCTTGAAGTTTATTTGATAATTTATTTAGAATCAAAAGCATATTATTCTAGCTTATCCATAAATTCATCTACATACTAATAAATTAAGTATGACATACGATATAATTAGCTCTCATTAATGTAGATATCAGTCTCATTTACACATATATCTAGTTAATTTAAATTTATCCAAGCATTTGTAGGAATTTCCGACATTTAGTTAAATTATTATCATTATTTACTTACTGAAATCTAAACTATTATATGATTTAGCTACTATTTTTACTATTCAAGCTAGGGGTTTTGGGGTTTTGGGG